TTTTTATTCTTTTTTATTTCATTTTCAATTAAACCAAGATTGAATCATTTCATTTCAATTACTATGATTCGTTTTGATGTGAAATTATTTGGAAGTTGTTTTCCACAAAGTGCATTTGATATTTCTTCATATGAAAATGAATGTTGTTTACAACATGATTTTGTTTTATTATTTTCTTTATAAACACAAATATCATATCCATATTTTCCAAATCCAAACAAACAACCATTTGATTGACTAAATAAAGAAAATGCATTTTGTGGTTCTTTAATATCAAATTTCTTCATTCCTTCTGTTCTTCCTTTTGATTCCAATGAAAATACAAATGATTTTGAATCATTAATAAAATCATCAACTTTATCAATTTTCTCATTAACATATCCTCCAAATTTATTTTCTTCTTCATCTTCAATAATAATCATTATATGTTCTTTATTTATTATTCTTTGATCAAATACTGATGTATTAACATTCCAATCATCTTTATCTGAATCAAATAGTGTATTGGTTATTCTTTTTTCTATCCATTCTTCTAGTTGTTCGATTTGATGTTTTGGTGGATATTTCTTTTCAACTCTCTTACTTTCCCCATCTTCTCTAATATCTTCTAACTCTCCTTTATATCTATTTTTCCATCTTTTATTTTCTTCAATTAGTTTATTAATTCTTATTTCTTGAGTTTCCATCACTTTTGTAATGATAATGTCAACTTGTTCTGATAGTATCTCTTTATCTTCAAATATAATTTTATTAATTCTTTGATAAACATTCTTCAAATTATCTATCATCATCATTCCTTCTTTCAGTTTATTTCTAATTATTTCATTTTTTCCAATTATTTCTGCTTTTCTGTCATAAATTCCTTCTATTCTTTTAATTCTATCTTCTGGACTTTCTCCTTCAACATCACTTATTTCTTCTGCAATGTTATTTAACCAACTCTTATTATATTCTCTTGCACTTTTCATTAATTCTTCAATCTAACTTTATTCTTTATTACATGTTTCTTGTAATTCATTAAATATCTTATTTCTTTCTTCTGTGTTTTTTTTCCATTCTTCTTTTATTTTTCTTTGTTTTTGAGTTTGTTTTTTATTCTTTTTATTTTGTTATAAACATCATTCATACCAAGTTTTAATTATCAGTTCAACGTAATTATTTATTAGATCTTCTATTTTAATAATTTGTTATAAATAGAATATACTAAAATATATTATTATTTTATTATTTATTAATAATTCATAAATAACAAAAAGAAAAGAAGAAGATAATAAACAAGAAATAGATGATAGTCAGACAAGAAATACAACAAACGAAAGAATGAATAAAAGATGAGTGAAAGAATAATAAATATATAAGAAAAAAAAGAAGAAGGAGATATTGAAAAATTAACAACAGAATAAATTACTTATGATTTACCTAATAGTTAATATTTCATCTATTTGAGATGTGAGTTTTTCTTCTTCTCTTTTCTTTTATTCTTTTTCAAACTTCATCAACTTATTTGTTTCTTCATTTAACTTGTTATTTTGACTTTGTATTTTGACTTTAATGCATATTAAATCTCATTATTCTTTATTGTCTTATTTTATATTGGATATATTAATATCACTATAAATATCATCATCTCTTATTTCCTCGTCGTTCGTTTTTCTTTCATTTTTCTTGTTAACACTTTATATTTTCATTACATTACATTCTTTATCAAATATAATTCCATCTATTTCATTAAATAATATCATTACATTAATTACTTATTACTACTTATTTATTCCTATTCAATAATATCAAATATTACCAATTTATTCTTGTTTGTACATTTTCTCTTAAAAGGCAATATCATTACTAGAAGATAACTCTCATTTTCATTAATTATTTTTATTTTATCCTTGCATATGGTGATTCCGACTTGTTTCTTTTGATTCTTATTTTCTTTCTATCATTTAAATACTCATATTATCACAACATTAACTAACGCTACAAAAAAGATGAAAGATAAAGAAAGAACAATTAATAGATATATCCACAATTAGATTTTCTTCATATTGAGAAGTGATTATTTCAGTTTCTTCATTATTCTCTATTGGTGTAATAGAGTTCATTTCTAGCATACTCGCATTAGATTGTTCTTCTTCTAATGTGCTGTCAGAATTGAATGTGTAAAACATTAAGTCTTTCATATTTTTGATAATTATTGTTTGTAGGATTTTGGAAAAGTTTAATTGTAATTTCAGTGTTTTTAATCTTCTTATAGACTCTTTGTGAATTAATCCATTTATTGATAATATTACATGTATTATTTCTACATATATTATTTCTCTATTATTTCTTAATTTCTCATGTAATTCTTTATACTTATTTATTTTATGAATATAATTTAATTCTAAATTATTATCTTGACATATAGCAACATCTATGATATATCATTTCTTTTCTGTAATATTTTGATAATATATATTATGTCTTCTAGCATTGAAAGAATTGTCACTAACCAATAAATCTTTATTGTAAGTTATAATCATTTTATCATTATTAATACATTTTGGATGATTATTAAAATCAATTGAATCAAATTCATTAAATATGTAATTAATATCTGTTTATATATTTGTTTACAAACATAATCATGTTTTAATATTTGATTCTTTTTCATTACATCATAACAATATATGATTAATAGATGCAATTGTGTTATGACAATGTTTACAATATTTTAAAGCATCATTTTGGAGTATTTTTGATTTAATATTTCCTGTCATACTTACTCCTTCTTGCATCTTTACTATTTGGAGGAATGCATTTATTTTTATATTTAATGACCTCCATGTGGCTACTGTTAATTTCTTATCATTGAAAGTGCAATTTGCACATCTTATATATTCACCACATTTCTTTTCTTTCCATTCATTTAAATATCTTTCATTTAATTCATTATTTACAAATTCAAATACTTTCTTTACATCATGTTTTCTTTCATTTATTTCTATTATATTTAGTAATTCATTAAAATTAATCTTCTTACCAAATGCTTTCTTCATTCTTTTAATTATTCAATTTGGATTTTCTTTTATTGATTCTATCATTTCTCATATTCCTGTGCTTGATCTCCACTTATATTTTAAATATATTCTTAATAATTCTTTACCACATTCATCTCTTGCTGATATTAATCCTAATCCCAATTCATTTATTTTAACATATAGTCTACTTTTTGGGAATATTTCTACTATATAATTGGAGGTGAATTAATTACTTTCTTATTTGTTTATCTATCTTCTCCAATTCTCATAGTTTCCATGGGACAATACTAAATCCATATCTTAATTTGGAGATTATATCACTATTAATCTTTCTTATTGTCTTGAGGCTGCTATATTTCATAGTATTTAATGATGATAAAATAGAAGACACATCATTTAATATTCTTGTACAATATTTGTTAATATTTACTTTATCTCCTATTTCAATACCAAGATATTTATAAGGATTATCATTAGTTACTCTTGGTAATTCAGCTAATTCACCATTTATTTGACTATTAATATTAGTCATTATCACACTCTTTTCTACATTAATTTTTAATCCTATTGCATTAAATATTTCTTTAGTTAATTTGTATGCTTTTTCCATTTCATTGAGGCTATTAGTCATTATCTTTAAATCATCCATATACAATATGTGGTTTAACTAGACTTGTTTTTCTTCTCCATTTATTTTAATATTTAATTTGTTTATTTGTTTATCTAATTGTTTAGATAATATATCAATAGATAATACAAATAAAAGTGGAGATAGGCTGTCACCTTGTATTATTCATATTTCTACATTAACTATACTATCACTTTCTTGATTATAATATAAATTAATATATGTATTATTTAATATATATAATACTATTAATTACTACTAGTTGGATATTAAAATAAATTAAACAATGTTTAATCCATTGATGATTAATACTATCATATGCTTTGGAGACGTCATAATATGTTTCTACCCACTTCCATTTATTCTTTATTAATAATTGTTGGATTATAATGTTATATAATAATCCTTCTTTTGATGCATATGTATATTTTTTACATCCAATTTGATTTAATGAAAGTTGTTTTTCAATTGGATTTTGCATCAATTGATTTTCTATTTTCATCTTTAATATTGATGTATATACTTTTAACAGACAAATTAAACAATGTAACATTCTGTAATTTGATTTTCTAATTTATCTCATTTCATATAATAATGATATTGATGAAATGGATATTAAATTCATTAAAATTACATAGCAAACATTAAATAAATTCAACAAATAAATTATTTGATATTCTAAATATTTAATCAAAACAACATATTTAACCAATTCTATGTATTTTATAAATAGGAATGAATTAATAGGATAATATAATTGAATAAGAGTTATTATTCATATTTTATTAACAATTATATATTCAATTAATACAATATATAAATTAATGTTTAAGTAAAATAATGTAATAATAAATTGATATATTCAAATAAAGAAATTAATAAAAGATATATTATTTGATATTTATCTTCTTAAGATTTATTTATTATATCTTTGCATATTTTATCATTTTTTATTTCATCTTATTCTTTTCATTTTTGTGTGTATTTGTAGTAATTTATTCATTTGTTTTTATTATGATATATCATCATTCATAAAATGTAATATCTATTTTAATTTCAAATATTGTTTATTATGGAGTAAATCTCTCAATCTACATATTTTGAATATATTATTCTTTCTATATTTCTTTGACTTCTTTCATGTTTATTAATATTAATGATGATAATGGTTGAAACTACAATATGAATATAAATAGAATAAACAACAATATAATGAAAAATAAAAATAGAAAGATGATATTAATGAAATGATGTAATTTATTACAATGTCATAATAATTAATGAAATATACATCTTCATATTCTTTCATTTCTTCGTTATCATTCTTGTTCTTTTTATTCTTATAATTCATTACTTGTTATTGTTTTATTCTTTTCTTCTATTTATTTCTCTTTTTATTTTGAATATATTCTTATTCTCATTTATTTTCATTTTCTTGTATTAATCTTTCTATTGATTTTTTTACTTGTTACTTTATTTTGCTTTCAAATAATCGTAATGAAAATCGTTTATAATTTATTAAATTTTCTTCTTTTTATTCAATTGTGTTTTGGTAGTCTAATAAAAATGTTGATATTTTCTTATGTTGACTTTCATCTCTTTATTGGATTTTGTGTTATTTTTTTTGAAATTCATCTTCACTTGTTGTTATTACACTAATTATTACAACATTAATTGAAATGTTATTCATATTTGCGTTTCAGATGAGTATGTTATACTCAAATTTACTTCATCTT